GGGCCGGGGTCTAACCTCACCCGCTCCCATGGGGGACAGGAGCCACTTCACTCCCGTCCATGGCTACACCCCTGCAAGGCAGCAGGCCCGAGTTACCAGCCCCCCCACCTCGGCAGCTCAGCCATGCCTGTCGCTCATGGCTTCGGGCAGTGTCTCCGTGCCTCGCGGCCCCAGCCATATGATAGGGATGCCCTGCCCCCACGAGTGTGTGGGGACAAAGACATGAGCAACTGGGAGACACCCAGCTGTTACCACAAGGAGCAAGTTAGAGAGATGCACAACTGGCATGTCTCTTGCCCTGTGATGCTTCCTCAGTAGGGAGTGAACTGAGAACTAGCAACTCATTACATGTCATGGGATGCTGGAAAAAGCCAGCTCTTGGCTACGGTCGTGCTAGGTCAGACCCAAACCGGCAGTGATCTCGGCAGGCCTTTGGGTGCAGTGACACTCCACAGAGAGGACACCCTTGGCTCGGTTTGCGATCTCTGCCGTTTCTAATGAACAATGAATCAGGCTTACTCCCTAGCTGGCTGCTTTCCCACAGGCCAAAAATAAAAGTCTGACGCACAAGCCTCTTGCAATCCCCCAGTTCCTCCATCAGTCACCCACCAGGAGCCAGGGAGAAGGGCACAGGATTGATTTTCCCTGGTGTTTGGCCTTGGGACTCCAGAACTGCATGGAGCAATGGCAAGGAAAGTCTGAAACACTGAGGGCAAGAAAATGAGATGGGAGTGGAGAAGCAGGAGGCCTTGGGAACTGGGCGGTGGCTTGTCCCTCACTAAATGCCCCAGCTTAACAGATGGGCAGGCAAACCCCTGCCAAGCCTGAGCGGCGCAGCCAGGAGTAAACTGCAGCCTTATCCACCGTGCCGCCTGATTGCTCTCCTAAGGCCCTGGCTGGTTCTCTCCCCACCAAAGGAATGTAAATGCCTCAGAAGAGCTCAAACAAGAACTCCCTGGGGAAGGAATCCCTGTTTGGCGACAGACTCGACAGACTCGCAGCAGCAGCTCCCTGCAAACCTCCGCTGGAGCGCCATTAATTAGCTTCTCTTACAGCACAGCCGGACTGGAGACCCAGAGGGCCAGGGCTGGACTCGGAAACAACAGGAGACAGCCCAGGCCTCCAGAGCTGTCTCGCCCATTGGACGGTTCGGGGCAGCAGCTAGGGGCTGCACTTTGGGGGACCCCTTGGGGATCACGGTCCCGGGATGGGGCCTTCCCCCTCACTCTCCAGCGGGGCAGGAGTCACAGGAAGCAGAGCAACCCAGCTCTGCCCTTTCACGAAGCGGGCTGGGGCTGGGGGCTGGTGTGGTGAGTGGGAGGGGGGCTCAGCCTTTGCGGCCGGTGCCAGGTGCCCTCAGTAATCTCTTGTGTTGTGTAGAGGAGAGGTCTTAGGGGGCGGGAGGGGCAAGGCAGAGCCGGAAGAGGTGGAGCAGGGGCAGGCTGGAGTGGAGGGGGGTTGCCCCAGGCCCCTCACTGCACTGCAGACTGCACTGCGCCCCAGGAGCACCCGGCAGCAGGCCCGGCTTCTAGGTAAGGGCAGGCGGCAGAAGAGTGCCCAGGGCTCCGCACCCTGCCCCGGCCCTGAGCTCTGGCTCCGCACCCCCAGTGGCTGGGAACCTGCTGCTGGGCTGCTGCTCGAGGTAAGACCCTCCTGCCCCAGCCCTGACCCCCACCCCAAAGCCGGAGCCCCCTCCTACAGCCCAAAGCTCTCCTCCTCAGCCCCACCCCAGAGCCCACTCTCCAGTCACATTATGTTGGGCCAGGGGCATCAACAATTTCCTTCAACTGGGTGATGAGAAAAAAGTTTGAAAGTTACTGTCTTTACAGGCGGTACTCCCAGCATGCCCCAGGGGGCAGTACTCCCAGCACGCCCTAGGGGGGCAGTACTCCCAGCGTGCCCTAGGGGGCAGTATTCCCAGCACATCCTAGGGAGCAGTACTCCCAGCACGCCCTAGGGAGGCAGTACTCCCAGCACGTGGGGCAGTACTCCCAGCACGCCTAGGGGGCAGTATTCCCAGCACATCCTAGGGAGCAGTACTCCCAGCACGTGGGGCAGTACTCCCAGCACGCCTAGGGGGCAGTATTCCCAGCACATCCTAGGGAGCAGTACTCCCAGCACGTGGGGCAGTACTCCCAGCACGCCTAGGGGGCAGTATTCCCAGCACATCCTAGGGAGCAGTACTCCCAGCACGTGGGGCAGTACTCCCAGCACGCCTAGGGGGCAGTATTCCCAGCACATCCTAGGGAGCAGTACTCCCAGCACGTGGGGCAGTACTCCCAGCACACCCTAGGGGGCAGTATTCCCAGCACACCCTAGGGAGCAGTACTCCCAGCGTGCCCTAGGGAGGCAGTACTTCCAGCACATCCTAGGGAGCAGTACTCCCAGCACGTGGGGCAGTACTCCCAGCACACCCTAGGGGGCAGTATTCCTGGCACATCCTAGGAGGCAGTACTCCCAGCATGCTCTGGGGGCAGTACTCAGAGTGTGCTGTAAGGGGCAGTATTCCCCTCACATCCTCGGGGGCAGTACTCCCCACACATCCTCGGGGGCAGTAGGCGCTCACCAGCAGGAACTCCTTGAGGTGCGTCTCAATGTTCTTGCCGTGGACGGTGAAGAGAGCGGCCGACACGTGGATGATGGCTTTGGCCAGGCAGTGGATATTGTTGCTGTAACCTGCAGGAAGGAGGAGACGGGGAGGCTTGATGCCTGCAGCTCACTGACCTGGAGTGGGGCAGGGAGGCTGTGCCTTTCTCCCCACAGCACCCCCGATGCCCTGCATGCTCAACAGCGCTCCAGGTGCTGCACTGCTACAGAGACACTGTCCCCGCCTCAGAATCTAAGGGCCTGGGCCTGGGAGCCTTCACACACGCTCAGTTTGAAGCCGCTCAACCCCGCGAAGGCACTGGGCGACTGGCGAGGGGTTGGCAGCAGCGCGAGGGAAGTAACACTGCCATCGGCACGGCACTGGGGAGCCTCCTCCGGAAGCCGGCGTGCAGCTGTGGGCCCCTCGTTGGCAGGAACCAATTCCAAATGGCAGAGGTGCGGAGAAGGGCTACTCGGCTGGCCCAGGGACAGTGAGCCAATCTTACAGACGCTAGCGAGCGAGACTGCAGGGCAGGGGGCTCTGCTCCCTCTGTAATTCCTTTGGGGAGTGATGCCAGGGAGGGGGAAGAGCTATTGAAGCTAAAGGACAAGGCTGGCACAGGAACTCCGGGGGTAAACTGAGGCCGGAAATGAGAAGCAGGTTTCTACGGGTACGTCTACATTACAGAGATTGAAGCCGCCACTGTTGATCTTCTGGGGTTCAAATTAGTAGGTCTAGCGAGACACTAATTCGAATTGAAAGGGGCGCTCTGGTCGATGCCGGTAACCCTGCTTCCACGAGGAGTAAGGGACGTCAAGGGGAAAGCGTTTTACCTTTGACTTCCCGCAGTGTGGACAGCGCCAAAAGAGCGTTTTCCCTTTGACTTCCCGCAGTGTGGACAGCGCCAAAAGCCCAGTTAAGCTACTTTGACTTCAGCGACGCAATTGCCGTAGCTGAAGTTGTGCAGCTTAATTTGACCTTCTCCCGTAGTGCAACTGCACCCTGACTGCCAGAGGGAGGTGTGGGAACAGCTTCCCCACAGGCAAGAAACCGCCTGAGTTGGAAGCGGGAGCTTGACACGCTTAGGAAGGGGCGGATCTGACAAGGCTGCTGGCAGTAGCAGAGGCTGGGCCGCAAGGGCCTCGCCCGTCCTGCGTTCCTGGAGCAGGATCCGGGCCTGGTGCTGCGAACTCCCCAGCGCGGCTCTGATGTGATGCGTGTGAGCAGCCCTGTCACAGCAGGCAGACTCGGGCATTTTCCTTTGTTCGTGTCTGTATTTTTCTTGACAAGTGAATTATGGAACTAACTGAATGTGTCAGCTGGGGCAGGTTCCCTTGAATTGTGAGCCAGGCCTGTGTTACGAAGGACCCCACCCAGCCTTTCCGCAAATGCAGGCTGGGGTTGTAGCGCGGAACAACATGAGGGCCCATGTCCCGGGAGCGTGCGCTTTGTAACACGAACTTGCACCACCTGCCCTGCCATCTGGGCAACTCCCTGCCCCCGCACAGCAGTGTGGTACTCTGGGGCGCCCCCTGCAGGGGATCTAGTCCGGGGTACTGGTACAGAGCTCTTTAGAGGCAGGTGAGACGATAACAGCATTGGGAAAATAGCCCTTCCTGGCCTCTTACCATCCAGCTCGATGCTGTACACGGAATGGGGATCGGTGGCGAGGAGCGGCAGGCCTCCAGCCACGAAGACCAGCAGCAGACAGGCTGACTTGTACTCCTCCTCGGGGGACGAGCTGTCTGTCAGGCAGAGTGGGAGAAGATGTACAACCAGAAGTTTCAGTAATAAGCTCAGTTTGTGCTCTCCACTTTTCTCCCCGGCTTGGCTACTCGACAGACTTACCAAAACATATCTATAAAAACACCCAGCGGCTGTGACAGGCCAGTAAATTATCTGATCGATGGAGCCAGGCCCCTGCTGCTCTGCAGCTTTGAGTTTTGCTGAACAGAACTGACACTACTCAGATTCGCTTGACGCTGCATATGCACCATAGAAAAACTTCCAGTGTGGTGAGGGCGGGGAGAGCTCCCTTGGGTGCCCCAGGCTGGAAGACAGCGTGCAGACAGCCGGGGACCAGAGCCATGGGGATCCTGACTGTGTCCCCCGAATGTCCCTGGATCAGCTGCAGCGCCTAGGACAATGCTATGCGTATGATTAAGACGTATTTGTTAGCCCAGCCCAGATCTTTATTGGCTTCGCTCATTGCTAGCGCCAGGTTCTCCCTCCAAAGACAGATGCTTCAACGTAAGGCGATTCCCTTTTATCAAGGGCTTAATGAAGAGAACCCAAAGGTCAGTGTCATCATTGCCATTTTACAGAGGGGAAACTGAGGAACAGAGCAGGGCAGTGACTTGCTCACGGTCACCTACATGTGTGCACCTCCGAAGCGCTTGGCTGAGGCCTGGCCCTCCCTGGAAAGGCCTCCTGTTTCGGCTCTGTTGGGAGTGGTGCTGAGATTGCACCGATCTAGTGACACGGGCACCAGCCCTAGGGGGAGCCCCCGTCCCATTCCGAAACAGCTGTACTGGCATAAGCCACTTTAAGCTGGCTGTGGCATTCTATACGAGTAGGTCCCCCCGCCCCTGCTTGACACCGTGGAGGATGCCTGAGGCCCCCACGTGCCTCGTGCATATCACCGTGACATTGCGTGGAAGGCAGGCCAGGTGAGGTATCTGGGGACAGGTTATGAACTGCTGAAACCCACTGCTCTGTCTAAACCTGCCTAGTGCCTTGAAGGGATGAGATTGGGTTGTGCGGCTGTAGGTGAAACACGCTGTATTGGGGGGCCAGCCAGACACTGCACAATTCAATGGGCATGAGGCCACAGCAGAGGAATTGCTCCCCCTTGCCTGGGACTCAGCAGTGACCCGGGACATGCCTGGCCTTCTGTGCCCCAGGCACATGGTATGGAGGGTATAGAAGAGCCCACAGGGGTCCATGCCTGGCTTTTCTCCTGCCCCCACATGTGCTGCAAGCAACAAGGACACTGAGAAGACTGAAACTCCAATAGAAGAGACAGGCCCGGGCTTAAGGGAGAACCCGGTGCACCGCGAACAGCGGAGAGTGGAAAACGGCGTGCTCTAGCGCTGCCCAGCCTGAGAGTTCAGACTGCGCGCCGGCATCTCCTTTTCCTTTGGGAACTACTCTGATGTGTTGCCCATCACCTCCAATCACTCGCCATCTCTCCTCTTGCTGGGCTGTTCGTCTTTACCGGTGAGTTTGGCTGCAGTGTCTGGTCAATTGCTCAGGGTTACCAAGGCAGGGGTCTATCCTAGCCACTTGCAATTCATGAAGCGGTGAACCTATTAATACATTAGGCTACATCACTGTAGCCTTCCTCTGAAAAAACCTATGCAAATGAAGCATGCCATGGAATATTGCCACACTTCATTTGCATAATCAACTAGAGGCCGTTTTTGCACAAGAGGCTTTTGTGCAAAAAGGAGCTGTGTAGATGGCTCCTTTCTGCGCAAAAGCCTCTTGTGCAAAAACAGTCTCTAATTAATTATGCAAATGAAGCACAGCAATATTCCACTCCGTGCTTCATTTGCATAAGCTTTTCTGAAAGCAGGCTACAGTGTAGACGTAGCCTTTCAGTGCTCACCTTGAGTATCTTCTGCAGGTACAATACTGGGGGCTGGGGGATCTGGCTGGTGTCTGTCTCTGTGGGATTTGTGAGGCTCTGGGAGCAGTCAAGCAATCTAGCTGGGTGTGGGGCTTCACCTGGGGTTGTGCTGAGTGATAACAGCACCTGGAGGGGTTTGCGGCTGGTCACTGTGAGACATCCCAGGCGGGAGCGTTAAGGGGGCACAGCGGCCCCCAGTCCCAGGCTGCACCCTGGGGGTCCTGTCACCCTGATGTAACTGCATTCATGCCGGGTGGGGTTCTACTGCTTTGACTAGCCTGGGATAGTTACAAAGCTGCCACTTTCTAGCGTAGGCAGGGCCGGGCTGCGCACCGCTACAGACACAAACGCCCAGCGGCCGTGTCTGTGAGCTGGAACAGTCGCCTGCATCTCGATTCACAGTCGCATGTGAGAGCGCGACTGGAGGAGCGAGTGCTCCAGACTGCAAGGCGGCGGCAGCGCCGGAGGACTGGACTAGAGGGGCTCTGCTGTCACCTCGCCTGGCAGCTCCCGGCCTGGCTCTTACCGGACTTCAGGTTGGAAAGTGCCGTCACCAGCGCGGGGTCAATGTCGCATGGGATCCCGGCCGCCGTGGCCAGCTCGAAGATGCTCAAGGTGACCTGGGGGAAAGGCCGGGAGAAGGGACGTCAGCATGGCCGGAGAGCTCCCAGGCCCCCTCGCTTCTGCTCCGTGGAATGAAACGCCTGCGTGTTTATGGGGAAAACATCAGCTGCTGTGAGTGCAGGAGCCGCGGCCCCACGGGCCAGTCAGTGGCCCACGGGCTGCTACCGGCTGGGGAGAAACAAGCCCCTTCTGCCACATATTGGCACAGCCTCCTGCCCCAGGCCAGCAGGGCCACAGACCGTCCTGCCTTCCCTGGGAGCATCTCCCTTCTGTGCAGGAGAGGGGGGACCCGGAGCCCCTGGGCTGTGAACACTGGGCTGTGTGAAGGGCCAGAGGCTGATGGAGGGGTCAGAAAGGCGGTACAGCAGGCAGGGCTTTCTCCCTAGAGACATGCAGAGCCCAGTGGAAAAGAGCAGCAAGCTGGGGGCAGCTGTCAAGAGCTCTGCTTTCTGGGGGGCCCAGCACTGTGGGGAACCGGACCCAAACTGGCGGAGAAGTGGCTTGATATTAGCCCCGGCTGCCTGCCCCTGGGGTGGACGGGATTTACACAGTGCAGCTTGCTGGATGGCCAAGTCCCTACAGGCTAGCTTACCCCCCAGGTACGAAGCAAGGGTTCAGAGAGGAGTGTCCTTCCCTCATCCCTCCCCCAGGCCTCCCACTGCTATTCTAGTACCCTAGCTCTCAGAAAGCTAGCGCAGGGAGATGTACCCAAGCTGGCTGTGCAGTGGCCGTGCACACAGACCCCGAGGAGGGGGCCAGAGCTAAGGCACTTGAGGCAGGAGCCTGTCCCAGGTCTGACTGTGCCATGCCTTGGGCCCAGCCAGGTACCCACGCCTGGTGAGACTGCACCATGCCTGTACCCAGCTGTTCCCAGTGGTGGCAGATGGCAGAACGAGGAGCAATGGTCTCTAGTTGCAGTGGGGGAGGTCTAGGTTGGATATTAGGGAAAGCTATTTCCCCAGGAGGGTGGGGAAGCACTGGGATGGGTTCCCTAGGGAGGTGGGGGAATCTCCATCCCTGGAGGTGTTTAAGTTAAGGATGTTAAACACTAGTCGACTATCCAATAAGCATGTGCTTATATCGGATCAGTGACCCCACAGCCATGACTGCTCGGGGGGCTGCCCCCTGGGGACTCAGTCCAGCTTTCAGGGTCCATGATGGGGACTTATGCCCACTGCCTGGCTTCCTGGCTGGGATATCAGCCTCCCTGATGGCTATGAACTAGCCCTATCCTCAGGCAGGAGCTGGCTGGGGAGAAGGGGGCAGAGGAGCTCCAGGCTCCCCAGGGCCCCAGCCCTGAACTCCCATCGCTCTCATGGCTTGTTCTCCTGAAAGCTAAAGGGCCATAATTCCTGTAAGCCGGGTGCTTGTGGGGCTGCTCAGGAGAGATTCCAGTGCCACCCAGCTCCTTAGCAGAGCACCCCAGCGAGGTTTGTGTTTCTCCTGATGGTGCACAGTCACACAGGCCTCAAGGCACATAAAAATGTGTTCTTCACATGGATGAAACAATGCGCATATGGATGGAAAAGATTAGAAGGAACACTGGAGCACATGGATGAAACAATGCGCATATAGATGGAAAAGATTAGAAGGAACACTGGAAAAGGGGAAGATGCAGGCAGCCCAGGGACAGAGACACAAACCTGACACAGCGAGACAGATGGACAGCCATGACACACAGACAGAGAGCTCCCTGCACGTCTCAGGAGCTGAGCCCTTTGGATGGTGCAGGATAATGAGCTCACACCCATCGCTCCTCCCTTTCTGTGCTGGGGCAGGGAGGCAGGACTCCTGGGTGCCATTCCTGGCTCTGCCACTGACAGACTGGTGACCTTGGGTGAGTCACTTCACCTTCCCTCCCTCTGCGCTGCAGCTTCCGCCACGGCAACACGGGGATAAAAAGGGAGCCCCTCCCTGTGGCTTCACTCATGTCCCCAAGCGCCAGTGCCCAGGCTGGTCTGCACTCTGGCTGAACAGCAGGTTGTCCTCGCTCACAGATCAGTGGGAAGCTCCACAGAACCAGATGTGTGTACCCTAGAGAGCTGATCTCCCCCAGGTGCCCCTGCTTGGCAGTTGCAAATTCCTTTAACTCAACAATGAAAAATTGCCCTACTTACATCCCTCTCGCCCTTCCCTACCCACTGGCTTCACTGGATGTGCACATACAGGGGACACTTTGTTAACCACTCTGATGCAGCCACCTCTGGGTTGAACACAGCAGCTGCTTAGCAGTGCGCAACAACACAACAGGCAAGGACCCATAGGCACACAAGGCAATATTGGTGCTGCTGAAATAAACATCCCCCAGGGTCAAACCAAGCCTATCTATAGACCTAGTTACACACACATGGGTCTGAAATGCAGAGCTGAACACCGCTGGCTTAGCCAGCTGATGCGCCTGAAATCGTAGCCCAGCATCTCCCTGCAGCCCTGGCGCAGAATCACCCGGCTCCCTCCTGTTCCCAGCTTGAACTGTTTGCAAAACTGGCCCTGCAGCACCATGCACAGTTCTGAGCAGCCCGGATAGCCCAGCCGAGCCCAACGGGACCAGCATGGCAGCCCAACGGGACCAGCATGGCAGTGAGCCAGGCCCATCCCCACTGTCTACGATCACGCCTGCAACACGGTGCCCGTCCCAGCTGTACCGAGAGGGACACCCCCAGCAAACACAGCTGCAGAGGGCCCAGCCTGTAGCCTTGCCACAATCCAAGGCAGAGGTCTAATGGGCTGTCTGCTGCTGCCCCCTGGGGCTTGTGGTGGGTATCACTGCCCTGACCCAACTACCCGGGCGCACACAACTCAGCCAGGGCTGTTCCCGGCAGATAGCCCCACACAGCCCAGATCCCCCCTCCCCCTGAGAGTTTCTCAGGCCTGTCCCCTGGCTACTCTCCATCAATGGCCCTGGGGAGAACAAGCAGTACCATGGGACTGCTCCTGGACGTGCCCCTCCCCCCTGCCTGCGTCTGCCAAACCCCTGACCTCAGAGCCACGGGTGTCCATCCCCTGGCACATGGATCAGGACACCAGGCAGTGGCTGCATCTCCCAGCCCCACATACCCGTCTTGTGCTCCCAGCAATGCTCCCTGTACAGCTCCCACCCCAGCCGGGCGGGTGCTTGCATGCAGCGTGCTGGCCTCTCCCTCTCGGGGTCCCTCAGGCCATGCTGGACCCTCTGGCTGCTAGAGGCACCGGCTGGGCCCCCTGCTTCTTCTAACCCAGTGGGCTGACACCGTGCTAGTACTGCCGGAGCAGCCAGCTCCTTCCCTCGCAGGTGCTTCATGCTGTGGGGATGCGGGCCAGCCGCTGGGGAGCACAGAGGGCCCCGCTCTGGCCAAGGGCAGGGGGATGGATACAGCAGTCCAAGCATGCGGGGAAAGAGCCGCCAACCCCACTGAGGCACTGGGACTGCCCAGTCCTTCCTGCACAAAGACACTGGGGTCAATGAGAGCATGGGGGGGTGGGGCCCAGCCAGCAGCTCCAGGCAGCTCGTCCCTCTGCTCTATGGTTCTGAGCTCCGTCCCCTGATCAGCACCGGCCCCAGGTGCGTTAGCCCAGCCCCATGATCCATCTGCCAGGTGCAAGTGGCACCCAGGCCTGGAGTGATTCATCCCGGCCCTGCTGAGCTCCCCCGCACGAGAGACTCGCTCAGCCGGTGGACGGCAGGTGTGTGCTGCCCTCACAAGATCTGGTGGCCGGCACCAGGGTCTGATCTACCCAAACCCAGCCTGGGAACAGTCAGCCCCACACAGGGTGCGGCAGAGATCCAGTGCCCGCCTCCCGAGCTGCTCCCATCTTACTACCGGGAGCGGCATCAGCGCGACCAGACCTCTGTCCATGGTTCTGAAATATGGGCAGGAGCTGGAGTGGGACTCTCTGGCAACCCAATGACAGGCAGCTTATAACCCTCCTTGTCCCACTGTGCAGTAAAAACCCACCTCTGCATTCACAGCCTGCCTCATTCACTCACAGCTTGACCAGCTCTGCAGTCACACCCTACGTCCTTAACACCCCCCCTGCCCGGCTCTCCAGCCACACCCTATGTCCTTAACACAGACCCAGCCCAGCTCTGCAGTCACATCCTATGTCCTTAACACAGACCCAGCCCAGCTCTGCAGTCACATCCTATGTCCTTAACACAGACCCAGCCCAGCTCTGCAGTCACATCCTATGTCCTTAACACACCCCCTGCCCAGCTCTGCATTCACACCCTGTGTTAGTATTCACCCCAATCCGCTCTGTATCTACACCCATGTCATTCTCACACAGCTCTGCATTCACACTGTGTTATTAACACATCCAGTCTGTCCTGTTCTGCATTCACACCCCGTGTCATTCATTAAACTCATCCAGTCTGCTCAGTTCTGTATTCACACCCTACGTCATTGTGACAGGGCGTCAGCCCCACACTGGCCCTTTAAGGGTAAATCCCAGCTCTGGCAGAGGCCTGAGAACAAAGCCCACAGCTGAGGCCCAGGAAGGGCTTTGCCCTTTAAGGGTAAATCCCAGCCCTGGCAGAGGGCTGAGAACAAAGCCCACAGCTGAGGCAGATGCTGCCAACTGAGGCCCAGCGAGGGCTGTATCAATAAGGGCTCCAGGAGGGAGGTGAGGACACCCACCCTCTTGTGTAGCTGGGGAGCAGGAGGGACCTAGTTGCCAGGGAAGCTAGAGGGTTCCTGACTTAGAGCAGGGCTGGGGAAAGGCAGGCAGAGCTGGACAAGTTCCCAGGCCGCAGGGCCTGAAGCAAGGCCTGAGAGTACTGGGACTGCAAGGGGGCAGCCAGGGTAGGCAAAGGCAGCAGGTCCACACCCTCCTGCCAATGATGAGTGGCCAGACTGCAGTTGCCCCTGTGGCCGGGGCTGGATGAAGACTGGCAGTGGGTCACTGAGGCAAGGTGGGGCTAGGGGAATTGGGAGCGGAGGGGAGGTCCCAGGAGTGCAGGGACACGGGGCTGCTGATAACCCCCCGGAAGGGACAGGTGCAGCGGGCGCTGCTGGAGGGCAGGGTCCTGGGAGGACGCGGTGGTCTGGGAGCAACACGGGTCCGGAATGGAGAGTGTGGAGTGAGGATACTGGGTGGTGCCCTGTGTGCTGATAGGAGCTAATTCCAGTGCAGGAGGCTCCGGGCAGTGAGTACGCCCCGTGAGTCATTCACACGCCCTGATCTGCCCTGCGCTCACACTCTGCATCGCACACACACCTGCTGCCCTGCTCTGCATTCACACCCTGTGTGACACATACACACACTGCTCTGCTCTGCATTCACACTGTCATTAACACATGCTGCCATGCTCTGCATTTACACCCTGTGTGACACACACACACTGCCCTGCTCCTTAGTAACATCCTGTGTGATACACACACCGCCCTGATCTGCATTCATACCCTGTGTCATTAACACATGCTGCCATGCTCTGCATTTACACCTGCGTCATTCATACGCACTCTGCCTGGTTCTGCATTCACACCCTGTGTCATGCACACACACACACTGCTCTGCTCTGCATTCACACCTTGTATTATGCACACACACACTCTGCTCTGCATTCACACCTTGTATTATGCACACACACACACTGCTCTGATCTGCATTCACACACACACACACACACTGCCCTGCTCTGCATCCAATTCAAAGTTATCAGCAACTCAGAGGCTCAGACCGGAAAAGGGGCACAGTGAACTTCCAGATTTCTGATTACTTTTCACTTTCAAGTCCTGCTTCCAAAGCACACCGCAAAAATACAGCCCAGTGTGGTTTCTCTCTGAAGCATATGAGGAGTCTCACAGGTTTTATGTGCCCTTATCAGCATAACAGTCTGATTTCTGTTACCCAAAAAATTAGAAATCCAGACCCCTTAGTAACATCCTGTGTGATACACACACCGCCCTGATCTGCATTCATACCCTGTGTCATTAACACATGCTGCCATGCTCTGCATTTACACCTGCGTCATTCATACGCACTCTGCCTGGTTCTGCATTCACACCCTGTGTCATGCACACACACACTCTGCTCTGCATTCACACCGTGTGTCATGCACACACACACTATGCTCTGCATTCACACCCTGTGTCATGCACACACACACTCTGCTCTGCATTCTCCACTGCCCTGCTCTGCATTCACACCCTGGGTCATTCACACACACACCCTGCTCTGCCTCCACCCTCAGGCTAATCTTTCAAGTATCGGTAGAACAGATGGCCCCACCAAACAGGTCTGTCCCCTTGGTGCCCCCAGGACCCTGCAGTACCAGTTCCTCTGGACTAAAAATGGGGCCCAGACAAGAAACCCCAATTTGAACTGGCAGCCACTAAACACAAGCCCATGAGCCATCACCCTGGGAGCGACCTGCTGCGCCAGAGCCGTGTCTGTACCCAAAGCCAGTGGGAGCCCCCCATGCTCACACCTCATGCCACGCCCCCAGTAGCAAGGGCAGCACTGTATTGGCACTGCCCCAGCTGTATCAGCACATCCCACTGGGGAGCCACCACACCGAGCTTGGGGCAGAATCTGGCCTGCAGGGATTGAATTTGTCAAGTCCCACAATGGGCATACAGCTCTCCACCCGACAGGCCCTCCCCAGACCCTGCCACCCTGGGGCGCAGCGTCCCTGTGCAGAGCACCATGCATGACGCCTCGGCAGCATGTCACGTGGCCGTGTCTGGCCCTGGGTGACCAGAACGTATGGCTGCCTGGGCACCCCCTCCAGAGGGGTCTCCACTCCCACCCAGGGCTGGAGGCCAATGCTCCAGCCAGGGGCCCAATCACAGGAGTGTCCAGCCCTGGGCTCTGTGGGCTGAACCATGGCCCACTGACACCAAGGGACTTGGGGCACTGATGCCATGTCCCCAGGGTGCTGCTGTGGCCGGTCTCCTGGTAGCAGAGCCCCCTGGGCCTGCACAGCCTTCCAACCTTCTCCACTCCCACCCAGGGCTGGAGGCCAATGCTCCAGCCAGGGGCCCAATCACAGGAGTGTCCAGCCCTGGGCTCTGTGGGCTGAACCATGGCCCACTGACACCAAGGGACTTGGGGCACTGATGCCATGTCCCCAGGGTGCTGCTGTGGCCGGTCTCCTGGTAGCAGAGCCCCCTGGGCCTGCACAGCCTTCCAACCTGGCCCGCACCATTTGAGGTCTGAGTTCCCCCAGAGCAGCAGCGGATTTAGGGCAGGGTGAGAGGGGTGGCTGCCCCAGGCCCCGCGCTTCCCGAGGCCCCGCGCATGCGCCGTGTCAAAGGAGGGGCCCCGCGGCACTCTCATCCGCCCCTGCCTCAGAGCAGGGCAGAGGACTCGGAGAGCTCAGCCCATCTGCAGCAGCGCTGGCTGGCTGGCCCATGCCCAGCCACCAGCCCCTGAAACTCCCCGCCTGCAGGGGGCGGTATGGGGACACTGTGACATGCTGGGCCCAGGCCCGGCAAGGCGACGGCTCAGACAGACAGACAGCCCCCGCCCCCGCCGTGGCAGGCAGGCATCCAGCCATCTCTGCAGCAGCAGAAGGATAAACTGAGGCCCAGTTTCTATCATGCTCATGGCTAAGAATTAACCCAGGTGCCGAGGGCCGATCCCTGGCCCATGCAGCAGCAGCACCCTCGCCCCTCCCCAACTGGGTCTGCAGACCCCAAGGGCTACTCCTGAGAACCTGAGCCAGGCATGGGGGCCAGATGGGAGGGTCAAAGTGAGCTGGGAGTTTTGTCTACCCCCCGCAGCCCAGAACGCGCTGCCATGCTCAGGATCCCCAGCTGGGGTAAGGCCCCTGGCAGGAGGAGGGTCACCCTGGCAAGGCCCCGGGGGGCTCAGGCATGGACAGTGCAGTGGGAGGCTGCCTGCCCCACAGCCCAGCCTGTTCCCTGATCCGCCTGCCTTGCCGTAGAGCCTGGCCCACAGTGCAGAGAAGTCTGAGGGTCACACCCACCTTTATGTCCGTGTCAGGGGTGACAAAGTCCTTCAGGCACTCGATGGGGCCCATCAGGTACGGGGCAGGGCCCCGGGGGGCTCAGGCATGGACAGTGCAGTGGGAGGCTGCCTGCCCCACAGCCCAGCCTGTTCCCTGATCCGCCTGCCTTGCCGTAGAGCCTGGCCCACAGTGCAGAGAAGTCTGAGGGTCACACCCACCTTTATGTCCGTGTCAGGGGTGACAAAGTCCTTCAGGCACTCGATGGGGCCCATCAGGTACGGGCAGCGGTTGGAGAAGACCTGCAGCAAGGAGAGAGCCAGCCCGTGAGACACCAATGGACACAGGCAGCCCCCCTGGTGCCTGCCGCACTGCTCTGCCCTCCCTCTGCCTCATGGTGATGCCTAGATGAGTCCCTCCACTCTGCCCTTCCACGCCCAGGCTCCTACAGCATTGCACAGATGGCCAGGAGGGCTTTACCCACCACTGAGCTGCAGCCAGCCCGGGGGAGGGACGTGGAAGCTGCATGACCGGGAATTGAGCAGTGCAATAGCTGAGGCTCTTGAGGCTGCCAGGGAACCGTCTGAGAGGAGCTCTGGGGAGCGCTGCCTGGGGGGCTGTGCTGAGATATCCGTGCGTCTGTCTGCTGTGACCATCTGTTTGACGGGAGCTAGCTGCAGGGACTGTTGGGCCGTGGGTGCTTGGGGGGCTTTGCTCCAGGTGGGCCTTGAATGCTTACTGGAGGAAAGGCTTTGAGCCAGGCCCAGCAGCCTTATAAAAAGGGGCCAGTTGGGAACTGAGTGAGCGTGAGCAGAGGACAGGCAAACAGAGGCACTCCCACAGAGCGTTGGTGCCTTTTGGGGTTCTGTGAGCAGTACACACAACATCTGAAGAGAGGACACTATGGGCAGTGAGAGATCAGCTGTTGTGACCTGCACTGGAGGCATCGTGTTTGTCTTTCTCCCAGGGGACAGAAGTGACTTCATCTGCACAAAGTGGTCTCCGTGCTGGAAGAGAAGGTTAGAGGACCAGAGGTCCAGCTATTCCCCTGCATTGCCACAGAGACAATGAGGACTTTCTGGAGAGAAGCCAGTGCTTGATACATCAGGCACCGCGTGCTGAAGAACCAGAGGGCAGTGCAAAGCAGCACTGGCAGCATGTGACCTCCACAGGAAGGAGAACTCACATACCCCCGGGGCAGACACAGGTAAGACACTGCTTTCAGGCTCTCTGCGTGGGTACTGCAGTGGAGAGGGGTCTGGAAGAGCTATCTGAGGAAAGGGGCCAGAAGATGTCTCCATCAATCGGAAGGCATGGGATGCATTGTCCTAAGGGAAGGGGTCCACGACCACCCACTCCCAAGAGAAGGAGACGATGGTGGTGATCGGGGACTCGCTTGAGAAGTGCACTGCCTGCCTGGAGCTAGAATTCAGGATGTGACGGAGATCAAGCCCTTGGACCGCTACCCCTTCCTGCTTCTTGGGCACCAAGGACACTGCCAAGAATGCCAGTTATGTAGGTGGCATCAGAGAGAAGGGCTTTGGGCTCTGCAACCATGGGACGCTGCTCCAGGAACAAGGATTGCTAGGAAGAGATGGGATCCACCTAATGAAGAGCGGGAAGAGAAGCTTGGCAGGCAGGCTTGCTAACCTGGTGAGAAGGGTTTTAAAGTAGATTCTCTAAGGCAGCGGTTCTCAAACTTTTTGGGCTCCAGAGCCATTCACATGCATAGCAATGTCTGCGGAGCCCCAGCAGCGTGTGTTAATTGCGTCAGTTCGGGGCGACTCTCAAGTATGCTTTTGAAGGCTTTCCAGTTTGTCAACCTTGTGGACCCCCTGGAAATGTCTCACGGACCCCTGGGGCTCCATGGAGCACAGTTTGAGAAACACTGCTCTAGGGGATGGTGACCTTAGCCCTGAGGTAAGAGGACAAGAGGAACACCATGAGGAAACAGAAGGGCTTCATCTACAATGCCAGTTTGGCTGGCAGTAAGTATGCAAATTAGCATATTACGGTGTCTCATTTGCAGAATTTATGCACACCTTTTTGCACAAAGGCTTTTTGCAGAGAAAAAGGTAGTGTGGATGGGGTTTTTTGTGCAAAAAACCCGTTTTCCGCAAGATCCTTATGCCAAGGAGGAGGATACAACAGGTCAATCCTGACCCATACTGAGAAAGCAGGGTAATCAGCTAATTAACTTAGGGCCTGTGTCATTCCAACAGACCCCAGACATCTATGAACAGAATCAAACCTGGGACCTCTGGGGCTTAGTACATGAACCTCTACCACATGAGCTAAAAGCCAGCTTGCTGGTCACAAAGACTGTAGAACAAGCTTGTTATTCTCTCTGTAAGTGGTCTCGGTGCCACTAGACCATGGGACCATGCTCCAAAGCCAGAAGGTGTGTGGGTTACACCTGTACACAAATGCACCAAGCGTGGCTGACAAACTGGAAGACATGGAAATCCTGGCACAATTAACGAACTATGATGTGATTGGTGTAGTAGTTCAGGATAGCGAAACAGTAAATTCAGGATTCACTGGTGTGGCATCCTGACAGGTTTCCTGCTCCATCAAAGGATAATTGCGGGAAACCCCCAAGATTAACACACGGAGGACTGCAGCATAACATTGCAAAACCCATAGACTCAACTGGGATCTTACAAGTATAAAAATGGGATGCTCTTGCCATGGGACTCTGAGGCTGCCTACACTACTGCATTTTTGCGGAAAAACAGCCGTTTTCTGCAAAAACTCGCAGGGCGTCCACACCTCAAACATGTTTTTGTGCAAGTAAATCGAAAGATCAGAGGGGGCTTTGCACAATTGGTAATCATTCTATGAGGAAGAACACCTTTTTGGCAAGAATTCTTGCGCAAAAAGGCGTGTGTGGATGGGGAAGAGGGGGTTTTTGTGCAAGAAGAGGGAAGAGGAAAAAGCACAGGTGGCCATTCTGTCCATAGCAATCATTGCTTACTTGTGAGAGACCATCCAGCAGCCTGGACGCTCTCTTTCGCAAAAGCCCATTGCATTTTCTGTGCGCTTTTGCAGTGTGGACGCTCTCTTGTGCAGTAAGTTTTTGCGAAGATCTCTTCCAACAAAAGCTTCTTGCACAAAAAGCCTGCAGTCTGATGTAGCCTGGGTTTGGTCCTGCAAAGCCAAACCTTGGAGCCTCAAATCGAGATCAATGGAACCCAGCTCCTCCCTCCTGTTCAGTGTAACTGGCCAATAGACTGACTTGAGCCTCGACAGACTGGTAACTATAAGAACATTGGCAGGGCCGCTGAGTGTGTGAACAAATACATATGCTGCTTTTCATACTGTATTTTTAATTAAAGCAGCTTATTGCCTTTTCCTCTGACAAAGATCCCATGTGCTTCTTAAAAGCATAACAATATGAGTCAACAGGGCGCCCTTGTTGCCAAAAAGGCTATTGGTATATTAGGGTGCATTAGGAGGAGCACTGCCAGCAGATCTAGAGATGTGATTATTCCCCTTCCTTCGGTACTGGTGAGACCCTATCAGGGTTATTGCGTCCACTTCTGGGCCCTCCTTTACAGAAAGGATGTTGACGCATTGGAGAGAGTACAGCGGCGGGCAACAAAAATGATTAGCGGGCTGCAGCACATGACCTATGGAGAGGCTGAGGGATTTGGAGGATCGCCTGAAGGAACTGGACTTGTTTAGTCTGCAGAAGAGAAGAGTGAAGGGGGGTTGAGAGCAGTTTTCAACTTCCTGAAGGGGAGGTTCCAGAGAGGATGGAGAGAGGCTGTTCTCAGTGGGGACGGGTGGCAGAACAAAGAGCAATGGTCTCAAGTTGCAGTGGGGGAGGTCTAGGTTGGAGAGTAGGAAAAACTATTTCCCTAGGAGGGTGGTGAAGCGCTGGGATGGGTTCCCTAGGGAGGGGGTGGAATCTCTATCCCTGGAATTTTTTAGTCCCGGCTTGACAAAGCCCTGGCTGGGATGATTGAGTTGGGTTGGTCCTGCTCTGAGTGGGGGGTTGGAGAAGATGGCCTCCCAGGCTGGTGCACAGTGGGGGCAGCCAGCTCCTCCGCCCCTGGCAATGGGGGAGTGGCAGGAGCATGCGGCTCTCGCACCTGTCAGAGGAAGGGGGGACCCAAAGCCGTCCCTCCCCCACCTCAGGTGCTCTCTGATCCCACGCTAACACTTGCCCCATGCTGCTCCCACACAACGAAGGTGATGCACAGGGGCCAGGCAGGGGAGGCTCACTGGTGGCTCCATGCACCCTCACTTTGCACAGGGGTGAGAGACACACCCCGGGCCAGGCAGGCATGGCTGGGCCCGGCTGTGCTTTCTGGCAGTGCAGGGACAGGGACTGCAGGAGCCTTCGGAATCCAACAGCCCAGTACTGAAGCATTTTTAAAGCCCCCCCCATCCTCCAGCTCCCCC